GGGCTCCTAACAGCTCTGCGTCGTAAACCTCTGCTCCAGGCATGGGGCCTGATCCTGACCCTATCATTTGGCCTGCTCTGTATAGAGTGTATCCCCAAGCAGATTCGGTTGGCCGCATGAAGATCCATCTGAATAAGCACAGACTATCTCCGCTGATAGACTAGCTATCCATTTCTTGGCGTGATCTATTTCCGCTTGCTTGTCGCTTCCAGTGGACTCACTTGTGGGCTCAAATCTTGGGTAAAAAAGTTTACCCGGACCTTCGGCTGTCGGCATACTCTTAGAGCTTATTTGGAGCCTCGGGAGGTAATGATCTAGCACAAAGATCGCTCGGTTTCTTTGGACTGTTTGCAGGCATAGACGACCTATTGTTTCCTCGGGTCCCTCTCTAGATCTGAATACTAGCGGGTGCCAAGCGTCAAGTCTTTGTTTGCGTGCAGCGGCCTGGAGTTGCCTTTTCTGTAGAAGAAAATTTGCTGAAGGGAAGCCTGACTCTCGATACAAAGCCATATTTGGCATGGTACGCCATGCTTGTAGCGCTGCTCGAACAGCTTTTAATATTGTGCTGTCTAGTAAATTGAGATACTAGCCAACCCCGGTACCCACTTTCTTGTCACGCTTAGTAGTGATTCTGGTCAGCCTTGGCCACATGCCTCTATGTTTGTCAGATTGGAGCGACGGTTAGGGTAGGATTGAGTTATAATAGAAAAGAGGGATATGTAGAGATATCTGATGAGGTACTTGAGGTCACTGAGAGAAACTAAAGATTTGGCTGAGGGGACGAGTGATTGCTGAATACTAATGGTTTGGCTGAAGGGAACTAGTGGTATCTGAAAAACTAGAGGCTGCTAAAGATGATCTAAAGGTGTAGGCTATGACAGAAGGCTAAGAGTGAAGAGCTCAGTTTCAGTAGACCAAGCCCTTATTTATTTACATGATTTCTTTCCATTGTTCCATCATGACATAAGTCTTATCCTAATTATAATAGATTACCCAGTGCCAAGAGCTGCAGTATTGTCATAGCCGCTTGGAAGGAAACTAAAAATTAACCCTAAATTAAGAATAAAACAGGGAGTGCTTACAGTGTTATAAAATCGAGGTCATGAGAAGACAGAGGAATACCTGAAATGGATGCAGATGATTATGGATATGCGGATAAAATTGATGTAGATGTAATGCGAAGACGCGTCGGAATGGACAGTGGTAAGATGGTTGATTCCCTATCTATCTGCGGAAGTATTGCTTCCTTAGATACACGTTCAGCCCCCAGTCCTGATCACGCACTCACCACAGGTGCCTCCTACTCCTGTCACAGTAACTACTTCCATAGCCACTGCCAATATCTCCTGACATAACATACCATTGATACTGGTTGCTAGTGTGGAACTTCGTGATTACAGAGCTACACACCATCGTCATATTATATGCTGTTGCCCCTCGGTAGCCATCAAAGTGATGTGCACCTCAGTCTATACGCATTGGTCTACCAGGCAACGCTCGGACGCATGAATATTGCCAGAGTGATTAGGTACTCAGCTGTGCTAGCAGTGCCCTAATCTCACCTAGCTTCCTGCGCCCAAGTATCCAAGTGCCGCAATATTGGAAGCCCGATGAGACTTGATCGGAGCTGATCCGTGGTATTCACAACACTCTGCTCCGTATAGTGTCGTGCTGAAGACACGAGACCGCGCCACTTTGATCATGGGGCCTGGGTCGATTCCACGTTGGACCATATTAATGTGACATATAAATTGTGTTATACGTTGGGCTTTCCCGCACCACTCTTGGAAATGCTGCTTCAAGGAGAGTTGGGAGTCTGGCCATACTACGAGCCATTTCATACACAGGGATGGTTGAATGGCTTGTCCCTTGATCTGAATGCCGAGTTCCATAGTGTCTACTCTTTCCCTTGGTCCTCCTTCTATCACCAGGATTTCCGACTTGGTTGGATCTAAAGTCTATCTTGTGCTCATTAGATAGCGAGACATGATTGTTATCTTTGTGTTGAAGTGTTTCCACTACTTGAGCTGCAGTTCTCCCAACACAAAATATGGTGATATTGTCTGCATATTTAAATTGGGTTCTGCTATTGCTGTCCTGGAGCAGAATAGCGTTGTACAGTAAGAACAGGAGCGGTGACAGTGGCGACCCTTGAGGGAGCCCGCACTCCATCACTTTGTCTTGCGTCGTCCTATTTTGATGTGGGACACGTATCCTTCATTGAGACCAAAAATATTCTATCTATTTGCAAATATTGATAGGTCATCCTTGTTCCCGCATCCAGTATAACAGGCGCTTGTGGAGTACTCCATCTAACGCGCCTTGCACATCTAGGGTTGCCATGGCCATGACCTTACCGTTCCGCATGGTCGCTTCTGCATCATGTATAACACAGGAGACAAGATCAATTGCTGAACGGCCATTTAGGGCGCCAAAGAGCTGCTGAGGAACATCTCGGTGTTCAATAGCCAACCGGGCTATTCGCTTGGCCACTAATCATTCAAAACCTTTGCCCAAGCCAGAGAGAAGAGAGATTGACCGCCATCCTTTGGCAGTCGCGGGGTCTCGACATGGTTTGGGAAGAAGCACGACTTTTGCTACCCTGAAATCTGTAGGAAAATGACTGATTTCTAGGCAAGCTTGAAAAATGTCTCTTACATGTTCTCCAATTTCGTTCCAGTATGATTTATGTAATTGGACTGTTATTTTATCTGACCCTGGGGCCTTATCTCCGCTTCCAGTAGTGCATGCCGTAACCTCAGCAAGTGATTGCGTGTGGTTCCACAGGATTGACTCTCGTTGACCACACTCCGACCTAGGTAGGTCATGGGCCGCGTTGAATCTGGCCATTAACGTATCTCTTAGGCTTCTGCTCGCTCAAGTGGGTCCAATATCTATCTATCCGCCGCGACTTTCAATGGAGGGGGTTCACAATACACTTTGGGTTTGGACCAACGCATCACCTTGAAGATGTGACGGCCCTGCACCATAGTATTGAGTACAGATGCAATGATGTAGCAATTAGTCAGTATTGTATAGAGCTACTCTGTATGGAATGCACGAACCAGGTGGAAATTATGTTGAAAGTCATACGATAAATCTGTAATTGTATCACGTGTCTCGCTTAGTATTCCACACTTTCCGTAATTGTGAAGTGTGTCGATAATTAATAAGAACAAGAAAAGCAGCACCAATAATTGTAGTTATAATACACACAATAAATTATATATATATATATATTTATATTATAAGGAATCTGATTTCGAGAGCAAGTATCCACACGCAGCTGAACATATAGCTGGTATGCAGTATACTCTTAACTCCACTGTCGCATAAATAACAACAAATTATGTACTATTGTAGATCTGTAGATGCATTCCTTTCCTTCTACTTTTTAGTTTAGAATCTTATATATTACAATCCTGATCTGAGCCCCTACTTGATTCGACATTGTCATCGTTTAGCTCGTGCTCTTTCCAGACACTCACAGATGGCCTGGGCCTGCGAGGTAACACTTTCGACTTGTTTCCTCCGGTGTTCTTCCTTGGCCGCCTTAATTGTCGCTCTGAAGCTTTTACCTGCCTGTGTTGATCCTCCAGGAGATTTCCTTCAATCCTGAAACTCACGGTATTTCAACTTGCAATACTCTGTCCACCATGGTGCTGTATTTCCGCAAAATGTCGAGGGTCTCTATCCTACTGCCTTGAGGGCATGCAAAAGTGCTTCCAAAAGGCTAGATGTCTGGCGTTCGACATCAGACACGCTACTTATAGGTCCTGGGTTAGCCTTGACGTATTGAGCAAACTTATCGAGGCTTTTGTTGCAGACATTTGGTCATTGAGTGAGGTTGCGGTTATCAAATATCCTTTTACACAGCTTAGATCCTACGATGGTGCTGTGATCCGAGGTGCAATCGTCGTCGCGTGAAACTGCCACCGTGGCTGACGTATCACTCCATACTTAGTAGAGCACATTCCTGTCCCGAGATGTGGATACCCCTGTTATGGTGACCAAATACATGTCCTGAGCCGAGGCCCATTCTATGATCTGATTACCGTTGCCATAATAACGTGGAGCCTGTGGCTGCCAATGTCTTGACACCGCGTTGAAGTTCCCCCCAACAATAGTAGAACCAAGAGGTCTCCACTGAAGTAAGGTAGACATATGCAAAAGTCAGACCATCTATTTTTACGTTGGGCATTGTGAATGTTGTCGGAAGCATCGTTCTACAAATATGAAATCAATTGCGCGATATATATACACGTGTCCTATCCCTGTCTACAATTACCAAATCCCGCACTGCTATGAACTCAATCAATCTTTGTTATCCATCACAATTTTGAGGATCAATATGAGATACTATCATATGGTATTTCTGTACGGGTCGATGTCAAGATAGAAATGTTATTACAGGTAAATCCTCAGCATGAAGCTGTGCTATGCTGGGCTGTCGTGGCGAAACAACGTATTTGGTGGATTGACGGCTCCTAACTCTTCTTGACTGGCTAGAGTTCTATGTTCCTCAATAGATCAGGTATCGAATACAAATTCAAACAAAACTAAATCAAATTAATCAATCTGAAAGTATTTGCTTAGCCTAATTGTAATAAATTTTCGACTGCAGATACTTTTGATCATTCTTCAAATATATCGAATGACTATCAAAATACAGAAAAATTTTAGAGCCTCGCCAATTCATCTTTTTCATTAAATTAACTTGGAAAGAAGTTATTTGGTCCCATAATTATAAGTCTTTTGCAATTCATTTTGCCCCTGAGGGATGTGCCGGTTTGGCACTTATATTTATTTAACGACATAAGCTACCCGTTTATAGTTCGCTGCCAAAACAGATAGGTACATCTTTAGCTCTCATTGACGCAAAATAGGCATGACTGCATGCTCTCACACTGGATAGTTCGATTTTTTAATGTTAATTCTATCAGAGACGTATTGTATGAAGTGAGGATTCTTGAAATCAATATATTTACAATTAGCACCTCTCAGAGGTTGTGATCAAGCTGTGTGAGAAGTGGTAATAACATCCCACTGACGACCGCAAGTGTTTCTCGCATCTTGGGCTTTGTTGTCTTACGCTGTGGATCAAGCGAGCTGGTTTCATTGGTCCTGTATGACCTGACATCATACGTGGTTTCTTCTTGCAAAGTATGCACGGCCACATACCTGTATAATTCAGACAAATTTTAATGAATCAGGGGCATAAACTCACAGAAATGTACCGGCAGAAAATAGTAATATCATACCTGTCCACCAGCGTCCCCGTTCACCTTCAATATGGCTACCACCAAGAAGAGCAATAAAAAGCCAAGTTGTCAAAGCGCCGAGTGGTGTAGCAAGACTGAATATTATTAAGTGTCCTCTTACAGCTTTTGCACTGAGGCCCTGCTTAAGCAATACTGATGTAAGGCCGAATGCTGCTGGAGCTTTATGTATCATAATTGCAATAAATATGATGAGTCCTAGCTTACTGTTAGAGCTAGTGGTTGATGCTCCCATTGCGATGCCATCAGTAGCAGCATGAATTACTAAGCCTGTTGTAGTTGTCAATGATCTGGTCTGTTTTGATATCGAGCTTGTTGATTGAAGAAAGTATTCTGACTCTAGCCCGTTGTCAGAAGCAGAAGAGCTAAGTGAAAGGTTGGAGAGCGAGATGTGCCTGGTAGGTGGTGCAGATTGGAGGTTATCCGAAGCATGCCGTGGTAATTTATCTATCAAAAACATGAGTATAAATCCTAGGACAAGAGAGAGCCCGATATGAAAGGTCGATGGATCATTTCGGTCCTCACGTCCATCACATGTGCCTGACACTTGATGTGATTCGGTTTGAGCCATTTCGACTTTCTCGGCATTGATAGATGGACTATGAGTATCTTTGATGTTCTGCCGTCTTACAGGAAACATGTCAAGGCGTGTTCCCTTAGTCTCAATCCGTTTGAGGCTTCTCGGGATAGGCCTAACGTCTGAGATTCCTTCAAACTCAGTAATGGCCAATTTTATATGCGACGTCTCTGCTTTGTAAAGATCTTTCTTTATGTGCAGTTTGTCATTCACTGATCCAGCAGCGTAGATGGTTTCTATTCCTTCTGGAATAATGACAATCATAGACGTTCCCACTAATATGCCCATCCCCAGGCAAGATATTAGGCGGACCCTAGTGGGAGAAAGACTCATAGATAGAGGTAACGATCCAGCAAGGAAGGATCTAAATTGGTTAACGACGTCTGTTTTTTGCGATTCAGCACTTGTTGCACTTACGCCGATGCCATTAGCGCGCTCAAGACCAACAACACGAATAGACCGTCTAACATTTTCAGCATGAAATTAAAATTAATTTTAATACAGGTAGTTGTATTTTCGATTGAATGCCATTTACCCCAACATAGTGAGTGTGGCAGTGTGGCAGCTTGACATAATGGCCACTGGTAATGTATATTCGATGACAAGGCTGAGGTAGCTCTCGATGTTGTGATCCTAATAAATGCGTTCTTTCCGCAATTTAGTAGTATACAACCGACACAAAAATATTTAGAATCCTCCTGAGAATATCTCAAGACATGGAAACTAATAGCGATGAGTGTACGTCAGTTATTCCATTTCACCTTCATCTAGCACAAGAACTATCATGAATATCTCCATCTATGTTATCACACGAAGAAAATGAACTGAGAACCCGAGAAATAATGAAAATTCATCGTTCCGATGTGTAATGCGTTAAATTTTTAATCTTAGGGTCTGCAAGCTCTACCGATGCGATCGAAATATCTTTAGTTGTTCCCTTTGAAGGTGGTTCAAAACCTTTACATTCATTTAAACCAACAACAACTAGTTCAATATTCGGAGAAGATGAAACGATAAGTGGATATCAAGGCTTAAGAATAAATATTCGATACAATGCATGCGACATGCGTCCTGGCCTGCAAATAATGTACAAAAAGAAGACCAAGACAGCAAACGATAGGAATACGCTAAACCTGAAGGATGTGCTTGAATCTTACTTACCCCGAAGTATATAACTCCTAGTCAATTGAGACACAATTAATTTTAGATAGGTGCATTCGATAAGACCGCAATCTTCGATGCTGCAATTCAAGATTCGTCATACACTTCATGGAAGCCACCTGGAGACCTATGGAAGACAATCCAATCTGGAAACCAGACTTTTGAAGTTTGGAAGGGCAATTTGGCTGATCTAGCCGTTCAGAAGACAGTAAAGCGAATCCAAATATTGGTATCATTCTTCATTGAAGGTGGCACTCCTATCGAGTTGAAGGAGCCCGAGTGGTCATTAAGAAGATGGACTGTATTTTTTCTGTATCATAAGAAAAAAGTTTGTCCAAATGTTCCTCCATATATCTTCATGGGATACTCTACTATCTATCAGTACTTTTTTGTTGAACCTGCTAGGGTACCTTCAAAAGTGGAGACTCTCAACTTTAATCTACCTTTTCATCATCTTTCGCTTTCACTTCTCCCTTGCCGATCACGAATTTCTCAATTTATAATCCTACCCCCATTTCAAAGTGGAGGAAATGGTTCGAGGTTCTACAACGCAATCTTCGACTATTACCTCAAGGATAACCAAACAGTGGAACTTACTGTTGAAGATCCAAACGAAGCTTTTGATGATATGCGAGATCTAAACGACCTTGCCCGTCTCCGAATGATTCCAGAATTCGTTAAGATAAAATTGAACTCATCATTAACTGTATCTAAAAATTCTGAAATACCTCGAGAAATTGTGAACACCAGTACGCTAGAAGATTTAAGAAAAAGTATCAAAATCGCCCCACGGCAATTTAACAGAGTGTTTGAGATGCAGCTCTTATCGCAGCTTAGCAGTCCCCAGAACGACTTAAAAACCGGAGATCCTTCGAAGAATGAACCCAAAAGTAATAGACATGACTACAGACTATGGAAATTATTAGTGAAGTCACGACTCTTTCACCACAATCGAGATTCCTTAATTCAACTTGATTATGCCGACAGAATCGAAAAGTTAGAACAGACACTCTGGAACGTTGAAAATGATTATCAACGTCTCCTTAAAGCTTACGATAAGAGATCAAGTCCAAAAGTTGTGGAAAGCCTACACCCTGTCGTCGACCACAAAAGATTAAGCTCAGACGAGGTTATCGAGGATAATCACGTTAACAAAAAGGCAAAAGTCTGAGATGCTGAAGAATTTTAACACATGAAACAAGGTTACATACAGCTATTGCTCTCTAGACCGATCACGCAATTATGCAGCAAAAGAGGCAACCAAATTCTCAAAGCCTCCCTTTTTATCCAAGTTTTCTCACTTTTAGATACGGCGCAGCATTCAGTCTAAGCAAGGAGTCAACAGGTCTACAAATAATGGAGTAATCTCGAAGTAACTCTTAATTAATTTCACTGGCGTCCGGTGTTAATTAAATCAATGGTTCATTTGGCATATAATTAAGCCCAACACTTAAATAAAACAAGAGATTGGCTACGTAAAAGCCGTACGCAAGTGATATTTAATGTATATCAAATTTAAATTATGAATATGTTGGGTAGATACAGCCATTATCTCTTTATTGTTACAGCTGTCTTGGCAGAGACTCGAGGTACAGGCTGTACGAGTAAGGGGAAATACTTCTCAAGTTTGAGGCCTGTAAAAATAATTTTGTTTCTAATCATCGACTGGTAACTTATTATGAGCCCACATCGACGTAGATGCAAAATTTATTGAGGCACAGAGAAGATTACTCACCTTGCCAAAGAATAAATGTGTAGATATTATTATTTGAATGAGTATCCCTCTGTTTGAATAGCATCTCTAGCTTGGTTTACTTGGAGTTGGTGGTTCTTGGTTTACATGCAAACGATATCCTTCATGTTGTGGGTTTCGTCATTCGGATAATGCTTGTTCTGAACGCAACATAGTTAATATCTCATAGCATCATTGTAAATTAGATAACGATTGAACAATGAATGCGCATTTCTTCTATACGATAGTTCAAAATACTTACACAAGTACCCTCATAACTTTAAGTGAACTAATAGACTTTTAGTGTATGACCTTTGTCATACCAACACCCTCACATGACTCTTCATGCCCTACAACTCTTAGGTGGGAATAAGTAGATGGGATCCAAAAATTTAATGCCATCTAAATAATTGGTTTCACAGCCACGAGAATTAAACCTAAAGATAAGTAATTTTATTTACAAGTATTGAGCTTTGTCGCATCCTTATAGCTTGAATATCGACCTTCGCTGCTGTAATTCCGGTATAATGAATTCCCACCTTGTTCAATATTCAATACACTGCAACATTAGTCTCTTTTCGGGAATTGGAGGAGCCTCTGCTATCAGTCGTTTTGTCTTGGCTCTAGCTCGCTTGCCGGCTGTAAGTTGCAAAGCAGGACGGCATCCCGAAAAATAATGCGTAGTTTCTATTGCAAGTGGTTTGCCAGACCTGGCGGTGTAGCTTATCACAGCTAGAGGGTATTTTCTAGAATGCAGTGGTGGCTCGTTACATATGCGATTGCGACGATACGATTTAGGGTTGTATGAAAGTTTGGCACTTCTATGGGTCTCAATTGTGTGGAGGTTGATTCAATTATTTGATGATAATGTTATAGAAACAGATCATGTACTGGTAGATAGAACGTGGAACCTCCAGTATCGGATTACACGACTCGCTTGGTAACGAGCCGTGCACTGTCCGGACAATAGACGCGTCAGTTAGTACTCACCGAGTAATGTAAGCGACGAGTCGTAGAGACGATCTGTCAAGTGAAGGAGTAGTCATTCTTTGATGACACAAGTCATTGACAGAGTGCTTCTCAGTTATACGAGGGAATGAGACACGTTTAGAATAGAGTAGATAATTGGAACACAGTTTGGTGGATGGGGATTTCTATAAGACCCAACTCATATCACTACTGTGGGATATCAATTAAATCCGGACTCATCTACGCCCTACATTTGCTGTGCAGTGTCTCTTATCAAGTTATACAAGTGATCTGAGTACGTATATTTTAATAGATAATTGCTTAGATTTGGCTAGTGGGCTGTCCCCTTTTTTACTTCGCTCCCGTGTTCCATCACGTGAGATGTAATAACTTCTCACCACAAAGTCGGCAGATTGAACAATGTTAGATCACGACAGTTTCTTCCCCGCCACAAATATATTCCAGATCTTTGTCGCCATGATTGATTCGTAGATGAAAATTGATGTAGTCTCAATACTTAAATATAGACACAGAAATCTGATAATACATCTCTCGTGGTGGGCCTAGCCTTGACTGACATTTATAATTAAGTTCGTAAATTTGACGAAAGCAAGCTGGATAGGATGTGCTTAAAGAAAGGTTACACTGAGTGGAGAGAAGTCACACAACTGCGGATAATTGCTACTTATACATCCTTACAACACACCCAACAAGAGCTTAGTCGCTGAGCATGATATTATGCTCCTCCGCTGCCTTCCGTAATCCTGCAAAATCATCTAGCTTGGCTCTCTCAATTAGCAATTGTACATCATCGTATCGAATTCCTTTCCAGCCCCAATCTGATGTGGCGCAGTGTGACTTGGTCGCTTTGTGCAAGATGATGTAGAGCGCTGCCCCTATTTTTGATTTGCTAATTTTAGGTCCTAAGCTATGCTCTGTATCTCGTAGGCGTCAAAGACCAGTGTACACGGCCAAGATCATGCTTCCAACATGCCCACCTCTGTTTCACCGCGGGAACCACTATACAAATAGTAGCTAGTTAAAAGAAAGAAAAATAAAAACTCCCACAAACTCCCATGACCAAAATTCCAAACCCAATAATCCTATTTTTGGTTGGAAAACAACACTCCTCGTCTCGTTTTCCCACCTGTTATGCTTCTTGCTATGATATAGTTGAGGCCGTCTCCGTTGGGAGCTGGAGACGGACCCCTAGGTGGGCCCCCGAAGCAGCCGTTCTCCTGCGCAAATTTTGTAAAGTGTTCGAGGCACTAAGGCCCGAAAAGCTTGTGGACAAAGTCGTAATGTGACATTGTCCAGCGTAATCGACGCGTCGGGCGTGCGTGCAGTCGACAGTGAATGAAGTGGAGAGGTGATGTTTCCTCCCCACACGCACACTCCATCGAAGCGGCGAAGTTGTTGAAGCGGCGGTGACATCTAGGTAGACATGCTTCTTCCCACCAGTCGTCGAGAAGCACTTGAAGTTTCCGGTGCATGAGCCGACGAACGAACGCCATTGTGACGGAGCCAGGCTGGCTAACTTTGCTTGGCAGTTTTCGAAGGCCGGAGCATGCAGCTCTATCTGCATCTACGTTTCCCTGTATCCCGGACTATGTGTTAGAGTATAGAGAAGACTTCGGAGTAAGAATTGCCTGAGAACGGAGAAGAAGTTCAGTTTGCTTAATTTACTAATAGACTACAGGTATTATGATATATACAGTGGAATTATAAGAAATAGAGGTTACCCGGAACCGACTCGACTGCATAAATAAGTGGGACCCCGTACCAGAAAATAATTATCCACTGACTGAGAATACTGGGTCACGCAATAGAAGTACGAACAAACCAATGACTGGATTTGTTCGGGAAGAATGGGATTCAAGCAGACTCTAACGTTGAGTCCGATTGGATCAGAAATGTGGGATCCTGCCCGAACTCAGAAATATAGTTCAGGCAAGATGCATGCAACCACATTGGTCGATAGAAAGAAAAGCAGGAAACTGTATTTCCAACACTATGCCGGTATCCACTTCACCGAGACTCGAGCCTTTTTCGATAGCGCCCTAAATTGGCGTACTTCATCGAGGCTGGTTGTGGCAGTCCCTGTTGACACTGCCTTTACTGTAGACTGTCTGTGCGTCAACACGTTGATCCCCTGCATGCCGTCACTTCTCCCGTTCTCCCTCTCCCACAATTCCGGCGCATTTTCCAGGGCCTTCCTCGCCCCTAAAATCTCCTCATCAAGAACTTCACCACCACGCTTGATGCCACATCTCTTCAACAGAGTTTTTCCATCCCCCTTCAAGACAAACTCCCATACTGAGCGACGATTCCCCTCCGAAGATCCATCCGGGTAGGCGCAAATATCTGATGCCGGTACACTATCGATGAACCGAGTTGCCTTCTCTTCCTCCTCTACCCTTGAGCCGAAACCCGAAAGAAAGCATGGCGGCGGTAAAGGCTCGGCATCTTCCGTGACCGGGAGTTGTCGTTAAGCACGCTGGACTAGCGACATCTGGATCTCTGGATTCTTATAGATCCGAGCATATTTCTTGTACTCCCGTGTTCCATCTCTTGGACACACGGCAGCACGAGTCCGGAGCGTGTGGCAATTGTCTAGTGAGTGGAGCCGAGCCGAAAGCCGGAGTTGATTCCCTTCCAGAATGATCTTCCCTGTTGGGATACCTCCTTCGCGGTAGAGAACAGGATTTGGTGTCGTTCTCATTACCGGGAGGGCAGCACGAAGTCCCGTTAGGATTGCCTTATCGATCATCTCGCAGAAAATGCTAGTCCGAGTTGTGATGATTCCCCTTTTGGTCGGACGTTTGAGGCCGGGCCACCAAACATCTACTCCAAAGGTTGCTACGGGGACAATGCACGTGTCCACTGCTCGAACCAGTGCCGCAGGGGCGGCTCTATGATATGCTGAATTGAAGCGTCGCATTTGCTGAGCAACTTTCATAGCTTTGCCACACCACATCACAACGTGGTGTTTGAAGTCTAGTCGCGAGCCTAGGTGTACTCCAAGCCAGCGTATTTGATCTGATCGCTCGATAACCACGCCGTTCACACAAATGCTCACTGGCTTCTCGCGTTTTCGTCCGGGAAACTGGACTACCTCCGACTTGTTAGTATCGAAGGAAGAGAAGCAGCGATATTGGCAATCCCTGCGGAACCCCACACACCAGCTCTCTTTGTCCGGTTACCCCTCCTGAGTATCAGACTTGCACCTTTCGTTGTGCAAGAAATGACGTCGTCCATTGTTGGAAACGGAGACACGTAGTGTTGTGGACGTACAGACCCTCCATTTCGTCTAGGTTCCCGACACGATCTTATATGTATTTAAGAGGTTGGAATAGGTAATATGGTAGCGCTTCAGGCTACCTATTGGATATATGTGCGGCTGAATGGCGTGGGTGTTATGAATTTGTTGTAGATAATTTAGATGGGGTGGCGCACGGGCTATTTCATGAATTCGGTTAGGGCTAGGCAAATGGAGCGTAGATTATGTTGGTTGGAAATTTAGAATTTGCTCTTTAGTCCTAACAATTTTGTTACATGATACACGACCTTGTACCCTTCAGTAATCGGAATTCAATAAAGCTACTTGTTCAACTATTCGTGATTAATCCGATACCTTTGAACCGTCGTCTTGCCGAAACTGACTCGACCTCTGTAGCTTAACAGCTTCGTAATTCAGTCCACAAGTAAGTTCATAACAGTGAGCGCAGGGAGGTTATCGGGGGGTTTCTATGCCCAGATGGCGCCACACTCGTTTATGCTGTGGCTTAGGCTACGTGTCGCTTACACTTGTACTTGTAGCGCACACTTTCCACACTTCTAGCTTTAATCCGAACATGACACTCATTCAGTCAACTTTTACTTTCGTTCCATGAATATTGCGCCCATTTCATTGCACAATATTTCCAACATCCATCTGAGAATTGAGTCCGGCCACCCCTGATCTTGCATTTTCCTCACCAAACAATAGTGAAGTACTGCATCGAACGCACCTTGGAAATCCAGATTCGTAAATGTGGCCGCCCATCCCTGGGCACTTGTCTCTTCAATGTCGTGGACTACGCAGCTGGCAAGATTGTTTGCCGATATTTTAGCAAGAGCACCAAATTGTTGGTACCCAACAACGTCGAACGTAACCGCAAGATGGGCCATCCGCTTCGCCAAGAGTCGTTTCAGTCCCTTACCCAAATATGACAAAAGGACAATCAGTCTCCAGCCATTAGCCGTCGTTGGATTTCGGTTCGACTTGCGTAGTGTCACAGTCTAAACATAGGCACTTGGGCAACCTTATGGTCAGAGGTAGTTTTAATTTCAATCTATGGTGAACTACAGATTGAAGAGGATAATAACAGTTACTTTATACATGATTATTATCCCAGCCAATGACACAGATTTCTATCCGTATATCCGTATTCCTTACTCGTATTCCCTACTCATATCCCCTACTCGTATCACATTCTCGTGCCCCATCCCCGGACGTGTTACAGTATTATTATTGCCACTTATAAGGCCCTCCTTGTTTCATGCTAAGCCTGCGTTAGACAGCGCAGGCTACAGGCAATTACCGGCTTACAAGCCGTCACAAGCTCCCCTCTGACATTCTAGGAAGTTGGTTAGGGGGTTATATATATTTTTTTTGTTTTATTTTTTTTTTTTTGCCTTTGCGAATTTGGCGTCGTTTATCCAGTGTATGGCCCTCTGCGGGACCCACGAATCCTCCGGAGCTTTCATTATCTGGGCCATCATTTGTCATTATGTCTCCGTACGTGGCCTCAAATT